ACCAGTAGAATTCAAATTAAGAAAAGTTTATTAAATTTGGCTTGGTGGCTATCGAGATATTTTCTTTCAAAGTTTTATAAAAAATTGTGTAAAATTTTCTTAAATTTAAATGAAGCTACCTCGACAACCACAAAGTCAAATTCAATGAAGTTTTTTTTTTCTTCGAATTCTATAAATCTGTAGGATTCAAATAAAAAAATGTTTATCAAATTTGGATTGATAGTTGCCAAGATATTTTCAATCAAAGTTTTAAAAAATTCAACGTCTATCAAAAGCGATAAATTTCTCAACTTTGAATAAAAATATCTCATCAAATATTAATCTAAATTAAATAAACATTTTTTATTTGAATTCTATGAACATAAAAAAGAAAAATTTATCAAAATTAAGATGATGTTGTCAAGATATATTTGCTAAAAGTTTGAGAAAAATTCTATTGAATTTTTTTTTAACTTTGAGCGAAGGTTTCTTGACAACTACAAGGTCAAATTTAATGAACTTTTTTTTATTTGAATTCTACAAATCTGTAGAATGCAAATAAAAAAAAATCATTAAATTTTGCCTGGTGGGTGTCAAGATATCTTCGCTCAAAAATTAAAATATGATTATCAAATTGCTGATTTTCAGATTTCCAGATTCTCAGTAATGTGTGATTTACGAAATTTGATAATCACAGTAAATTGAAAAGAGCAATAATTAAAAATATCTTAAATTTTTATTTTAGTTTAGAAATAGGAGAGTATATACTTAATAAAATTTTATATTATTGTATAAAATATAAAAAAAAGACATTCTAGTAGCCATATTTGGCTGCTAGATAGTTTAAGAAATAGTAAAATATTACTTCAATACTAATTTTTCTTACAACTAAAACTTAATATATTACCAAATAGCTTTTATGTTTACTTATCATCTTAAATTTTCTTTTTTAACTTTTTGAATAGAAAAAAAAGTTTCTAATTACTGTATGAAAAAGCTTTAAAATCAAAGAAAAAAAGAAGTTTAAATAAAAAAAATATTTATACAAAGATTATAATAAAACAACAAATAAAACAAAATAAAAAAAAGAAAAAAAAAGCAAGAAAAAAAACAAACAATCTATAATAAACACACTATTATAACCCATGCTAAGTAAAAATAAAATTATATAACAAATATAATATTTGTATATTCTTATTATAAAGCTTTGTTTTAATATTAAAGTTTTTTTTTTAATCTTCTGATCAACTCTGAATAACTTTGTTCAAGCTTATTTTAATTCATATATCAAGTAGATACTGCTAGGATTCTGAAAATTTCTGATACAATCTAAATCTAAGCTTGTATAAAATTCATATAATTTCAGCTAAATAGATATATAAAATTGAGCAAAATTTAAAAAATTTACTATATAAAAATGCAATGTTTGATAAATTTCTATACAAAATTTTCTTTTTTAGAAATATATAAGTTGTATTAAAGTTCTTCGGGGTTTTGTACTACTCCGTTTATAAACCTATATTTGCAAAATATATAAATATAAACTTATATAAGTTATTACATCTTAAAATATTATATAATAATTATGATTTAGATGAAATATTTAGAAATAAATTACAAAATATTATAAAATAAATAATAAAATATTTCAAAATAACTTATAAAATAGAAGTGTGGCAACTTAGTATAGTGGTTTAGTCATCACCCTCTTCAAGTGGCAGGTCTAGAGTTCAAATCTCACGGACAACGAATTTTAAAAAATAGGCGTGTGTTTCGGTTGACGGCTATGCTTATTGGTTGGATCTAATCTGTAACTTCGGTCACACCATCTAGTAATGGAAGCAATGGCGCAATAAATTTGAGGAACTGGTATAACCAAAAACCCATTTGGAAAGTCTTGAGCTAGGAATAACAGTGATCTTCAATAGTATTACAAGAGGGCTAAATTCGAACTGGGGCCTGAGATCAGAAAACTGAATGACCAGGTCCTAATAGTGGAGAACACCAGGTTTGTCACACCAGAGAAAAAGGATATATACTCCAAAAGTATGTATCAAGGGGAGGAGCGTCCTTTAGGCACCTAAAGCCTGGGCAGACCAACCCTTCCAGATTGCTGGCTGGAAGTAAGGGAGAGACTGATAAAGAATCCAGGTAAGAAGACGGTCCAATTGCAGGTACTAGGATTGTTATAAACCTAATAAGGGTGGAAGTAGGTAATTGCAGGGGTTCAATGGTTAGCTCTAACCTCAAGTGCATGGGTAAAGCCGTGGTATAGATTGCTGAAGTTTAAATAGATATATATGTAGGACATGTGATATTTAGCAAAAATGGAAATATTCCACTATCTAATGATCTAGAGGCACCCAGAGTTGGGGTAAGCAAACTTTACAGAAATGTGATAACCAATGGTGAGGCAAATAGGGGTTATAATAATTATACCAGGCTGAAAGGTTTGGTACGTTTCACTCAAAGAGGTTTATGGAGATTCGAGAACTATAACACTGCAGAGAGAGGAATCTAAAACATCTGTAGTTGTTGATAACTACAGTCAGGGGATATTCCAAATTAAAAAATCACATTCTAGAACAATCTATAGGTAGATTTTTAAATTTGATTGGCTTTCACGTGTCTTTTATCATTCAAATATTGTATATTGTGAAAAAAAATTTTTGATAATTATTAAGACCTGGAAAGCTTCAAACGTATAGTTTAAGACGTCTAGTTTTAATAATCAAAATTAATCAGTGACAATCAACCTTCTTTGCCAAAGTAAATGAGAAGCTAAAAAAAAGGTATTCATTTTAATAAAATATTAAAACTTGTCATTAGTTAACAGTTAATATAAGATTATTTTTAAAATTTGTATATATTTAAAAACATCTTAAAAGCTTTATTTACACTATAGTAACTTTAAAATTTTAATTTATTTATAACTATGTAGATGTTATTAAGTTATTTATAAAAGAAAACAATCAAGATGAAGTATAGAAATAGATTTAAGTGGCAAATAAATATTAGGCAATATTGTTCAATAATGTATACGAGTAGTGCTAGTTGATAGTATAAACCAAATACAATAATGTACTTTTGAAAGATAGTGATAGTTAAAAGCAAAAGATAATTACTATTTAAAAGATTTAGTATAAATAAAGCTTCGCTACTCATTTATATATCTCTTTCATATATTGAACTTCTTGATTAATTTGATTGGTTAATGCTCATGTGCTACAAAATCTGAAATCTTCTGATCGACACTCTTATACTATAAAAGATGCGATCTACAATATCTATTTTTGAAATATTCCCTGACTAAACTAATTAGAAAGATTATGGCTTAAGATAAGACTGGGTTATGGCAGTATCCAAAAAAGTAGCTTGAGATATGAACTCGGTGATAGCAGCATAACAGGTACTAATTAGATTAGAGATTACCAATAATATACTGAATTTCTGTTATAAAAAAATGTATTGTATAATGCATCCACTATAATAATTAATAAAGAGGCAGTGTTGTTAAAAAATAAATAAATAAAAATAACTTATGAAATATTATGCAATATATATATATTTTTTAATTAAAAGAGACCTTCTTGATCAGCGAGAGTTTATTAAGCAAAGTTAGACACTATACATTTTAATGAAGGTACATCAAGCCATACATGCACTTTTGGTGCTTAATTTAAGCATTCCACCTAAAGGTTCTACACTAGGGGGTTACTTATTTAAACTTTCTGGTCTCAACATATTTGGCCTAATATTATCTAATATGAGTGTAACTTACTATTCAAATATAGGTTTTGCAACACCACTACATGTTTTTAGCCAACTTAGAATACTTTACTATCCTTAAAGATAGGCCCAACAGAGTAGTACATGTCTTACATATATATTTATCTACATGTTCTATAATATCTTCTTAATTAGTACCTGTTGTGCTGCTGATACTAAGTTTGTATCTCAAGCTACTCTTTAGAGCACTGCTATAACCTGATCTATATTTCAAGCCACAACTTTCTTAATCAGTTTTTTATTATGTACTCATTGCTCTTAATTGATTCACAACAACCCCAGTACCTATACTTGAAACCATCTCCTTATTTAGATTTTCTATCGGTTCTTCTTTTACTTCCAGCTAGCAATTTAGACGGGTTGGTCTGCTCAGGCTTTAGGTACCTGAAGAATGCTCTTCTCTTGGTCCATACTTTTGGAGTGTATGCTTTTTTTCTCCAGTGCATTGGCCTGGTGGTTCGGCTAGTGTGTCCTTCTACTTAAGGACCTGATTACTTGGTTCTCTGATCTCAGATTCTAGTTCAAATTAAGCCCTTCTGTAGTACTGTCAAAGATCGCTATTATATCCAAATTTAGGACTTTCCAAATAGGTTTTCAGTTATACTGGTTCCTTGGGTTTATTGCACCAAAGCTCTTATTATTAGATGATGTGACCAAAGTTACAAATTTAGTTTTAGATCTAACCAATAAGCATAAACATCAACCAAACACAGACCTATTTTTCAAATATCGTCATCTATGGGATTCAAACTCTAGACCTGCTACTTGAAGAGAGTAATGACTAAACTACTACACTAAGTTGCTACACCTCTAAATATTATATAATATTTTTTTTAAACAATTTGGCAGTCATGTCTTTACTTTATTAGGCTTTGTAATAATCATCTAGACTATTAAAATTTTAGAGAGACTTATTAATGAGTGATAAACTCTGAACTTGTTAGCAGATAGTGTATAAGAACTATCTCTAAACAATATGCGCTGCACCTGAGAGCCACACAACTATACCTAAATTACAAGTAAAGATGACAGATCCAGGATGTAGGTGAGATTTTTCTGGGTCACGTGAACTCCGATTCTCTGATTTACATCACCTGCGTCATATAGTAACCAAAAGAAATCACCAGTTATATGGTTTTTTTTTTTATAGATCATATTTATTAATTTTTTTTTTTACTTAATTTTGTAGTATCACTTTTCGCCATCACGTTTTCAAGTATCTTTTCAGTATTTCATATTCGTTGATCCTCTTTTCTTTGTTTAATGGCTTTTTTCGTCATTTTTAGTTTGTCGTCTTCTACTAGTGTTTCTTCTTTTTGTTCGTCTTTTTTTGTTTTTTCGGTTTGTCGCTTTTTTTTGTTGTTTGCTAGTGCATTTCTGTTCGTTGTTTACTGGTTTTTTTGTGCTTTTTTTCATTAGTTTGCTAATGCCTTTCTTCGTCTTTTGCAGTATTTTAGGTTCGTCATTTATTAGTGCTTGAATCATAGTACTGTAATTTAGAGATAGAGTTAGTGTTAGTTGATATGCGGATTTAAAGATTAGGAATTAAAATAAAGATTAGGCTAGGGTTAGTGGTATAGTTAATAACAAGTAAGATGAGTTAGTAGTATAAGTAAGGGTTAGTATTAGCAATAAAATTAGTGTTTAAGGGTTAGTATTAGTAGTATTGTTAGTAATGAGCAGTATAGTTAGCAAAGAGTAAGAGTTAGATAGAGTTAGCGACAAAATTAATAATATAGATAAGTTCTGAAACATTTAATATATAATAGCATTTTTATATAATGAACTTATTATATAAATAAATAAAATAAATAAATAAATAAATAAATAAATTAAAATAAAAAATGCGAAATTATATAGTATAATACTCACGATGCTTCGTGAAAGGATAATATAAAGACATAATTAATTGCAACAAAAAATTACTCCAGGCTCAATAAAAAAAATATTACAAAAAAACTAAAAATAAAAAAAAACTATTCAAAAATTTTCATGCTATATTTTAAAACTACTATTGCACTATGTCCCAATTCTAAATATTCCAATTCTAAATACTGTATAAATTGCACTATATCCCAAATCTAACTATCAATCTATGAATTGATAGTTAGATTTGGGATAGTGCAATACAGTATTAGAATTAGAATGTTTAGAATTGGGACATAGTGCAATAGTAGTTTTAAGATATAGTATGAAAATTTTTGAGTAGGTTTTTTTTATTTTTAGTTTTTTTGTAATATTTTTTTTATTGAGCCCGAAGTAATTTTTTTGTTGCAATTAATTATATCTTTATCATTATGCGACAAGTAGTATATATTAATTATCTTTTTACGAAGCATTATGAGTATTATACTATATAATTTCGTATTTTTTATTTTTATTTTTTATTTTTTATTTTTTAATTCTTTGACAGTCTTGCTAGTGCTCAATTTATTTAAGACTATATTTAGGTGAGAGTTGAACTCTCTCGA